CTGTGGTAGCATAGCGGTAGGGCATTTGCCTTGCGCGCAGCCAACCTGGCCGAGCCCGGTTCAATTCCTCCGCCCCCTCTTGGAGAGCCCGGCAAGCTACCAATAGTATCTCGCCCGCACGGCAAAGCCTGGCAAGCTACCCGTGAAGTATTCAATATGCCAAACACAGTAACAACAAGTCTCAAAATGGAGACGTTACTGGACCCGCTTGAGCAAATTGATGAACAACGGAGGACAGTGACAATGACAATGACCTCACTATGTTTTTATTTGTGCTTCCTTAAAGACTGTTGAGCGTTGTTTCATTTTTCTGTTGACCATTTGTGTATACTTTACAAGGAATATTTAAGCTCTTTGCCCAATTAAAAAATTCACTCACTACTTTTGTTGTCAAGTTGGACGACTGCTTATATATATACTAGACTTGTATTCAAACAATTTGCAAGTATTTCTCCCCGTTCTGTGGTTTGTGATCTCACTCTCTAAATTATATCCTTGAATTCATAGAAGTTTTTTTGTTTGACAATGGGCAGATTATCCTTTTTTTGTTGTTGTTGGTGCCATATCTAGAATCCATTCTAAAATCAGAGGCTGTAAAGACTCACTACTAGATTTTCCTCTAGGAGTTTTATAGTTTTAGCACTTACATTTTGGTCTTTGATCCAATCTGAGTGAATTTTTATATTGTGCGGCAGATTGTGACTTCATTATTTGCATGTGAATATACAGTTTTCCAGCACCTTTAATTGAAGAGATTGTTGTTTTTTTGTTGAATGGTCTTAGCACTTCTGTTAAAAATCAACTGATCGTAGATGTAGGGTTTATTTCTGAACTCTTACTTCTGTTTCATTGATTTATGTACCTTCTTACACCAAAATTACTTTTAAAATATAAATTTTATCATGTCACATCATTACATAAAACTCTCTAATTGATCTGAATTGCTCTTACAGTAAAATCTAAATACCATTTCCAGTATATAGAGCTTTGGGTTGAGAGTGTTTCCTCATCTTGGCTTTGCCACTGCTGCCAATTTTCAGTCTTTAAATTTATCAAGTTTGTGTTCCCTTTGACATCACTGCACTGTTGCTTCCTGTAGAGACTCCTCTTTCTGCCTGATCCTACATAGCAACCGTCTTGCTGTCATTCAGATGGCAGTTTATGGGTCTTCTATATTATCCTATTTCATTTCCTTAATAGCACTTATTACTTCATATTTTCATGCTTATGCATTATTTTCTCCATCTATGAGGATGTTAGTCCCATGAGATCAGGTGTTCTTGTCTGACTTGTTCACCACCGTTGCCAAATTCACCAAAGCACTTGGCCCATTGGAACCATCCAGTAAGGTAAAATTTATTTCTGTTGAAAGAAAATTACTCAACCCATCAGCCAGTGTCCTGTTTCCTCTAGCCATTTGTTAAACAGCATACTCTGTGGATTAGCTGCTCAAAGGGAGATGTTCTAAAAATGCACGAACAATTGAAATCGCCCCACTAAGATCTCAATTCCACTTTCTATGAAATTTATCCGGAATCAGATATCTTGGAAGTATGTTTATGTCCTCTTATTTTTCTTACTATTGCTAAGGTCTTTGTGTTCCCATTCTCAGTTTCTATTAACACGAATATATATCAATAGCATTTTTTCTTATATGTTCAGAGTCACTAAAATTCCCTCCAAAATCTCTCGAATGACTGCATATGTTAGTGACAGTTCAAGTTTAGAATAGTAAGATTATAATGATATAGTTCATCAGAGCATGTTGAAATAGACCTGTAGCTTTTAAAGGTTGAGTAGGATTTTGTTCATATATGTCTATTTTTTTCCTTGTATATCAGCTTTGGAGAGCCAGGTGTTTGCTGGAGTTTATCAAAATGACTCTAGGGGCTGGAGAGATAGTACAGCAGATAGGGTGCTTGCCTTATACATGGCTGACCTGGTTCGATCCCCAACAATCCATGTGGTCCTCGAGCCCACCAGGATTGATCCCTGAGTGGTGAGTCAAAAGAAAGTGCGGGGCTGAAGCTATAGCACAGCAGGTAGGGCATTTGCCTTGCACATGGCTGACCCAGGTTCAATCCTCTGTATCCCATATGGTTCCCTGAGCACTGCCAGGAGTAATTCTTGAGCGCAGAGCCAGGAATAACCCCTGAGCACTGCCGGGTGTGACCCGAGAGAGTCAAGTGTGTGTGACCTAAAAACTATAACCAATCCCTCCCCCTAACCCCCCCAACCCCAATCGAATTCTAAAAGATTAGGAAAAAATAAAACAATGTCCAAAATTAATCAAGGAGGAATTTGAGAAAAATTTAGTGTAAGAACTATGAGATGAAGTGAGATAAAGACACAGAATGCCGTGGTAGAAGTCCAAAAAAGTAAGGAGATGGTTCTTCACTGGCACTTCATACTCACCTACCACACACACGGAACCATGTGCATATATATTTCAATGAAATCATATGGGTTTGCATATTACTTAACAATAATTTGATTATTCATTTAGCATACATCTAACATTGATTTTTTTAATTGGTTGCCAATTTAATTCTAAATCCCTCTGGCAAAGGCATTCAAAATGCCTGGGTACAGGACAATACTGTAGTGAGGAGCTGGAGTGCAACAGCCCAGGCCTCTGAAGCCAGGGAATGCAGAGTGGGAGAGGTATGTGAGCTGCGGAGACAGGCTCTGGAACTGAGTGGATATAGGGAAGAACAGAGAGAAGTCTTGATGACATCCAGACCTCTAAGTCTGCAATGAGTAGTACGACTGCATTGTCCTCTAGTTGTTCATAGATTTGCTCAAGCGGGCACCAGTAACGTCTCCATTGTGAGACTTGTTACTGTTTTTGGCATTTTGAGTACACCACAGGGAGCTTGCCAGGCTCTGCCGTGCGGTTGGGATACTCTTAGTAGCTTGCCGGGCTCTCCGAGAGAGACAGAGGAATCAAACACGGGTCGGCTGCGTGCAAGACAAATGCCCTACCTGCTGTGCTATTGCTCCAACCCAATATTCACATTAAAGGTTTTAATATACCAAATGTAAAAATTTTAATGCAAGAATCTTAAAATGGTGCAGATAATTTTCCTCATTTTTCCATTTATAGTAAGGTTTCTATATTTGTTAGATATACTATATCATATAATATTAAACATTGGGGAGGACATAAAAGACCAGAGTATAATTATCATCAAATATTTGTTTTTATGAAGTAGATTACTGTCCAGCTAACACAATCATGAAAATATAACAAACTATACATGGGTTCAAGTCACTAGACATCAAGCAATGTAGTAATGAGATCTCTGGGGAAAAAAAAATAAAGGTTTTGAAAGAGTCCCAAATCATGAAGCAAGTAGGTAGAACAGGGTAGTACAAAAGAAAAGAATATCTGTCTTATTCTGGTCTGCTCAAAAAATACCATATGCTGGGTGGCTTATAAACAAGCGGGAATATTTCACTAGGTCCTCACAAGGCATAATTGGGGAGAAATCTCTTTAGGGTCTTTTTTTCTCAGCCTCTAATCCCACTCGTATATGAGCAAAAAAGGGCTCCTGAGTATTCAGGTGGGTACACTAATTATCAAAATTTTAATTATCACTAATTTGGTCTTATTACTTATGCTAATGTGATATTTAATATTCTCAGGCTAGAGGTCAGTAGAAACTTTGGCATAGAGATGTAGATCCTTTAATTAATTCATCTACAAAGCTTTACTGAACTCACAGTGACTATCATGTCTTTTCTAAATTAAAGGGCTATTAAAAGGATAATTAGTAATATGGGGTATGATGCATATTTTGCTTTGATGCCCAAAGCCCCCCCTCCCTTATGTCCAAAAATAATACATTGACAAGCATCAAACTAGCTAGCTTGCTTGACCTGAGCTTTCAGTAGGTTTAGAGCAATGAGAGACATCAGTAGATGAAACAATAAAGATCAATGAGGTCAGAGGGTCTATTTCCCACCCCCTTCCCTCCTGCTAAGTGACCTTGGGCTGGTAATTTTTCCTGTCAAGTAGTCCTCTTCATTCAGTTATTCACCTCTGCACCCAAGTCTTCCCATTATACCCTCATGCTCAGGAATGAATGGTGTATCTCAGACTGTCATAACAGAACCACAAACTGGGTGGCTTAAAGAACTGTTTAGAGCTCTGATGTTGGAGATCAAGTGTTGGCAGGGTTGATTTCTTCTGCACCGTTCTCTTCTTAACTGTGTCTTCACTTTCTCTTTGTCTCTAAGGGTACCAGTTTTGCTGAATATGACCCAACTTCAAGACCTCATTTTAATTTAAGCAAAAGTCTTCAGGGACTGTAAAGACCTAGTACCAGGGGGACTAGGATTTCAATATACTCTGAAAGGGTGTCCTTATTAGTCAATAATAGACTAAATTAGTCAACAATAGACTAATGGAAGGGAACAACTGGCTTCCTGCTAGCCTGCTGGAAGAGAGGTGTGAGGGAGAGAGAAACTAAGAGAAGGTGCTGGTTGGTGGGGGGGGGGGGGGGTTGAGATGGGAGGGAAGGGAGGGAGAGGGAGAGGAGAGAGGAGAGATGAGAGGAACTATGAGACGGGGAGTGGGGGCGGGGGAAGAGAGAGAGAGAGAGAGAAAGAGAGAGAGAGAGAGAGCGAGAGAGAGCAGTCCAGGAAAACCCCTCACAAGCCTGCAAAATTACCAAGAGGCTACTAAAAATCAGGGACTTGCAAACCGGCTCCTTTCCCACGCTTACTTTTCTCTTTGGAGCTCAGCGTTAATTGGAGTTCAACGTTAATTGCAAGCAATTACTCTCCCCCCTCCGCCCCCCTCCCCTCCTATTGCAGCGGCAAAGGAACCGGAGAACACCCCGACAGTGTTAACATTCGCCTCCGCCCAGCGGGCAGCAAGGCGGGGCCGCGGCGTTATCCTCGGCCCACGTGGTCTCCGGCGGGGCCGGTGACAGCGGCGGCGCATGCGCGCGAGGCCTCCCCGCCGCCTCGGGGTCGGTGTCACGGCTGGGGGTGGTGCCTAGGCGGGCCGAGGGCGCATGCGCCGTGGCGCCGGCCCGCTCGGGTTCCAGGGCTGCTGGCGACGGCGAAGTCTGCGTTTCCGTCCGGCGGCCGCGCGGCCCTGGGGTGAGTGTTCGGGCAGCCGGGCTGCACGTCCGTCAGGCGCAGAGTGTCCGATTCCACTCGGGCTTTCCACGGCTCCGCCTCGATCCCGCGGCCGCGGCGGGGGAGCTGCGCGGGCGGCCCCGAGCCGGTCCCCTCCTCGCCGGGGCGCGCGCCCGCTCCGCTCTCCCACCTGCAGCCGGAAGTGACGACGGACGCGTCCTCACCTGGGCCGTCGGGGGCCGGTCCAGCTCGGTGCCACCGGCCAGCGACGAAGCGCCGGCGTCCAGGCTTTGTGTCGGACCCCCACGCCTGCATTGTCAGCCCGGGCCTGTCCCATCTCGATTGCAAAACTGGAGGTGTTGTTCGCGGGTAACTGGAGGCCGCCGGCGCTTTGGGTCTTGACTCGGTGCACTCGCCTTTTGGGAAGGAGGATGGAGCAGCCCTCCTAGGTCTTATGCAGATGCCGTTGTTATGGACCGGTGCCCCTGTCACATATCATCCGTCTTCACTGCTGTCATGCTGTTCAGAATGGCCTTTTAATTCACCCCTATGTCTCCCATCGTCCTCCACTCTTTCTTCCAATTTTCCATGATCCATGCAGTAGTCATCCCAGTGGTCTTTGGGCATCAGATTGGGTCATGCCATCATCGCCCTGTTTCAGGCTCAGTTCAGTCTGTGTTCCTGTAACACTTGGGATCAAATCCAAATTCTTTTTCTTCCAGGCCTGCTTTTCCTTCAGTGTTCACCTATGCAGTCGACATCCCCCAGCTCTGCATAACTGCAGCCAAAGCCCCACGTGGGGGTGGCCTCTTGTCACAGATGCCCTAGTGCTTAAAGAGAACAGTTGGAGACACTGTTTCGCAAATGCTTATGCTTCCAAGACAATGAAAGAAGCTGTATCAGCTCATAACTGGGTTACCATGTGAAAGTAAAGATTTCGCACTGTGCTCCAGCAATCTTTATTTTTATCTGTGCTGTTTCTTTTCAATAAATTTACTGCGCTTTCGGTCTGATTAACTTTCTCAGTCAGATACTGACTCAGTTTTTCAGAGGTCTCCCTGACCTCACACATCCATCACCACAGTATCTGTTAGGTTTCTCTCTTTTTGTTGTAAAGAATCCTGTACTTCTTACAGCACATTCCACAGTGCCCCTGGCACTGTTTGTATGTGTACAAACTCATGAAATTAAGAAATTATATCCCTTCCTCCAAGACACTGTTAAGCTATGTGGGGGCAAAGCTAGTTAAAACTAGTACATTGCCTGGTGTAACTGATATTCAAGTACTTTTTTTTTTTTTTTTGTGGGATGGGGAGGTGGGCCATACCCTGTGTTGCTCCGGGCTTATTCCTGGCCCTGTGCTCAGGGATCACTCCTGGCAGTACTTGGGGGACCATATGTGACACTGGGAATCAGACCTGGGTCAGCGACTTAAAAGCAAGTGCCTTTCCTGCTGTACTAATCCCCTGCCCTCAAATATTTCTTAAATGATTTTAAGAAATGAATGATTTTATTTCTTTCATTTCTGGAACTCTTTTTACCTTCTGACAGGTACCTTAGAGTTGCCGTTTAATTACTGATTCTCACTCTCATAGACTTGCCCTCAGTTACTTCCCTAGTAACTTGACTTTTTTTCTTTCTCCTGATTTCCCCAGTTCTAGTCTTGCTCACTTTCTCTATTAATTTTCCTGGCTTAGCTCTGAACTTAGTTGCTTAAACTGCTCTTCTCAACATCTTCACCCCCAGCCTTTTTGTCCGTTTGCTCTTTTGCTCTAAAAGCCTCCCGGATGGCATTTGCCTGCAGTGCTTGTAGTGATTGGGCTGGGGCGATAGCACAGCAGATAGGGCGTTTGCCTTGCATGCAGCCGACCCAGGCGACCCAGGTTCGATTCCTCCACCCCTCTCAGAGAGCCCTGCAAGCTACCGAAAGTATCTCACCCGCACAGCAAAGCCTGGCAAGCTACCCGTGATGTATTCGATATGCCAAACACAGTAATAAGTCTCACAATGGAGACATTACTGGGCCCGCTCCAGCAAATTTTTGAACAATGGGAGGACAGTGACAGTGACAGTGACTTGTAGTGATCACAGGAGGAAACTGCAGACTTGGGTGTTGTTGGAGGGCTGGGGCCACCTGCGTTGGCCCTCCACACCTCTCACCTGTCTGTCCCATCAGCTTTTCCTCTCCTACTTTTGTGCAGACTCTATCCCTTTCAACCCCCATCCCAACTTGGTTCTCCATCAGGAACTGCTTTTCAGCATATTTTTTCTGTGGGCCACCTTTGTCTTTCTCTTCCACTCCTATAAGTAAAGTTCTGTCAGGAGTCTTCCTTCAGCCAGAAAGATATGTTGCACTGTTAGTTTACTTCTCTCGGTCTGCCCCTGTTGTTGTCTCTTGTGCAATGTGTAGTTTCATCTGACTACTCCCCTTACAGCTTTTACATTTTATAGATTTTCTTGACCTAACTTTCCTTCCCCAACCCATCATTACTTCAGCATTTTAGCTAGCGACCCACCTTCCTGTTCCTTCCTTTTTATTGGAATGCAGCGGTTGCATACATGTGTCCTGGGGATCGCTCTCAGCATACGTGGCAGTGTTGGGGTTTGAATGCTCAGCCTTTTGCCTGCAAGACCAGTGACCACTGAGCCGTTCTGGGCCTCCTCTTTCATAATGTAGGACAAGTTGTTTTTTGTCCTCATTGCCCTCCTAGGATCTCTTTTACTAAGCTAACCAGTGACCGGCTAATTTTCGAGTCTACTGGACCCATTCTAGTTTGCTTATGTGGATTGGTGTTATCATTTTCCCTGTGTAACCATTTATTCTTTCTTCTTTTTTTAATTAGCAGTTTTCTCCAAACGTCATTTTTTGGGTTGGGGGAGGGCTGGGATTACACTCAACAGTGCTTGTGAGCTCCTCCTAGTTCATTGCTCGCGGATGATCCCCACAGGTGCTGGGGGACCGTGCGGTGGCGGGGATGGACTCCTGGGCTCCCTCATGCTCTCCAGCCCTTAAGGCTCTCTCCCCACCTGACAGACAGTATTCTTTTCACCTTGTGTTTGTACTGCAATATTATTACTTCATGTTTTGGTTGAATTGATACTCATTTTATCTACAAAAAGATATGCACATAAGAAATTCAGTCAAATTTGAGAAAACGATAACAGAATTGTTAGATTTCAGCCGGTTTGAAATAGGAGCCAGAGTACTTCCTGTTTTCTGTTGAAAATAGAGACAAGTTAGTGACAGAGTACCTAAAAAATAAGAAGGTCCTCCAGAGGAAGAACTTTCTTCATGTCTAACATTCCCAGTGCTCACTTCTGTCTGAAATGATCTCTCTCTGGGTATCCCCTGGACTGTTTGTGCTACTGCTAGGGCCACTTGTCTTGACGGTCCTCCTGAGCTCAGATTTGGATTTCGTGCCGTGTGCCGAACACAGCATCTTCACCAGCTCAGCTCCCCGCTCCCCCATCGACTTCTTTGCTGAGAATAGTGTTTGACTGATTTAATCAGTGACTCAGTGGTCTAGAGATGGGCTACTTAAACTTCCTTCACCTCTGTTCCCTTCCTACCTGAAGAATGCCAGAAACATCATGGATTCATTATGCGATTGAGTTTTAGTTTTGCCCCTTCAGAAAGTTTTTACTGTTGCCAAGATTTTTCTGCCTCTCACGTTTAGTTATGTGACCCTGAATAGGGTTTTGACCTCCCATGGAAGAAACTAGAATCTGGACCCGACTTTTTCATATCTTAGACTCCTTTCTTACTTTACTTCCTCTCAGTATATAGTGATCTTCTCCCGCACAGCAACATCTGGGCCAGGTGCTCAAATGTTAACTGGTACCTATTTCCTGTGTGCCAGGTACTTTGTCCCTTCTCCTGTGTCTGTGTGACCTCTCTATGCCTCTTCTGCAGACCTGTCTCACTGTTATTGAAGGGTTTCATTGGAAATTAAAGCATCAGGGTAGGCTGAAGGTAAGTTCCTGGTTCTGTATCCCAGTGCTTGGAAGCTGGGATCTTTTTATTTAAGAGGAATAAGTGGGACTATTAGTGAAACTCATGGTTATTGCCTAGAAATAAAGTTTCAGTTCTGAAAGAAGAATTAGTGTATTCACAGTTAAACAAAAAGTGCAGCTGTCTCTTGGTTGCTTTTTTAGTGCATTAAGTAATTTGTAGATCATTTTGAATACATTCCATACACATAGATGCAGAGACTTTTTTTTTTCTTTTTTGGGTCACACCCACCAAAACACCTGGCTCTGCACTCAGAAGTTTCTACTGGCAGTGCTCAGGGGACCATATGGGATGCTGGGATTCGAACCCGGGTCGGCCACATGCAAGGCAAACGCCCTACCTGCTGTGCTATCACTCTAGCCTGCAGAGACATTTTCATCAAAATAAATGTATCCATGCGATGTGGCTTCTTTTTCATTTTACATGGCTTTTATACCAGTACTACTGAAAATACTTAACATCTGTATTAAACTAAGAAAAATACTACAGTAAATATTTTTGTGCACATGTAAATATTTGTGGTGAATAAATGCTGAGAACTAGAATTGCTGTACAAAGGTCATGTGTGTTTTATTTTAATTTAATTTTTAAGGTCATGTATGTTTTATGCCTTGACAGATGCTGCTAATGTGCAGTCCAAAAGAGTTTTGTTAATTTATGTTCTTACCAGCAATAGGTAAAAGAAAAGGGTTTCCTTTTTTTTTTTTAAACTTTTTAATCGAGTCACTGTGAGACATACCTTACAAAGCTGCTCGTGATTGGATTTCAGTCATACAGTATTCCAACACCCCTCCACCAGTTTACGTTCCCAGCATCCGGGTCCCCAGGTTCCCTCCCATCACCGCCCACCCCCACCCCCACCCCCTGCCTGCCTCTATATGGCAGCCATTTTCCTCTCTCTCTCTCTCTCTCTCTCTCTCTCTCTCTCTCTCTCTCTCTCTCTCTCTCTCCTCCCCCCCCTTTCAGCCATTGTGGTCTGCAATATTGATACTGAAAGCTTATCAAGAATATCCCTTTACCTACTTCTCACCTCAGATCTTGTCCAGTGTGATCGTTCCCAGCTATTGTTGTCATGCTGATCTCTTCTCTGTCTTACCTACCCTCAGCCCCCCACACACTTGTGGTTACTTCCAACCATTGACCAGTCCTCCTAGCCCCTGCTTTCCCTGGCCACGGATATTCTTCTTCTACTATATATATTTTTTATATACCATAAATGAATGCAGTCAGAAGGTAGGGTTTTCTTATCCAGACAGGATCAAGATTTTAATTTTCTTTCTTCCCCCCCCCCCAACATGATGGGTAAGATAATATATATTGAAATAGAGTTGTTTTTGAGACGAATCTTTCTCAAATTCTGATTGAATGATGTTACTATCTCTAGTTGAGAGTCTTGGGGCAAGATTCAGTGCACCTGCCTTACAGTCACTGGATCTAGGTGTTACAGTTGATCTTAACTCTGTAAGAGAAATCATTTACATCATAATGCAGCAAAGATGGTGCCTAGAAAACAACTGTCAAATGACTTCAGGTGATTTGGGGGATTTTCAATGCCAGCTCTATGAGCTGGCTTACTGAGATGTCTGCATTTTGTCAACATCTTCCTCTTTCTCTTCTTCCTTAATCTCTTTGTTGTCCTCTTTATTAGTTTTTCTACTTTATTATCAGAACTCAAGAAGGTATATGGTTTTTGTGCCCTTTTAAAGAAAATAATAACTTGGAAGCTTGGATTTATGTAAAGGTAAAGGTAAAGGCCCTCCCGTTGATCGTCGATTTGCTCGAGCGGGCCCAGTAACGTCTCCATTGGAGACTTTGTTGTTACTGTGTCTGGCATATCGAATACTCTCGGTAGCTTGCCGGGCTCTCCGAGAGGGGTGGAGGAATCGAACTCGGGTCGGCCATGTTGGCCGCTTGTAAGGCGAACGCCCTACCCGCTGTGCTATCGCTTGAAGAATTATTGCATGCGCCTTTGAGAAGTTACGATGATAAATTATAAGATAGATGCTTAAGGAACTGTATCCTTATCAATTCTGTGTACCCAAAAGAATTCTTGAAATTTCTTTTTGCATTTATTTATTATTTATTTATTTATTTTCTCTTTTTGCTTTTAGATAGTCCATAGAGGATGCCAAATGAGAGAGACTTCCAGTCAAGTCAAGCAGAGGAGCGAGACTGCTTACAGGGTCAGCCTGTCAATGATAATGAAGAAATGACCATTAAGCCAGAAGACAATGGCCCTGAGGAGATGGGGGACAGCGGTCCCTCCTGTTCCTCTGCCAGTGAGCCATCCACTGCCCTGGAGGGGCATTCATCCGAGGGTCCGAGAAGAGGGCTGGCCCTGTTGCACATCGACAGGCATCAGATCCAGGCGGTGGAGCCCAGTGCGCAGGCCCTTGAGCTTCAGGGCTTGGGGGTGGACGTCTACGACCAAGATGTGCTGGAGCAAGGGGTGCTGCGGCAGGTGGACAGCGCCATCCACGAGGCCGGCCGCGCAGCACAGCTTGCTGATGCAGAGAAGGAGTACCGCTCCATCCTGGATGACCTCACGTGAGTGTGTGCCATCCTGGCTTTGGCCTCAGGCTTCGTGTCTGCCTCTGGTGGAGAAAGTCTGCCAGGAGAGAGCTTCGGGATGCGGAAATTCAGGAGAACTCCTGGGATGGGGATCTGTGAGGACTCCTGGACTTTGTGTTTGAACCCCAACTCCCCCCCCCCCCCCCCCCCCCCCAGTATCGTACAGGGTAGTCGGGTCCGAGTTCAGCTCATAGGTTTATTGTGGTAACATCCAGGAGAGAATTGCCACGCGAGAAACCTGTGGACACTTGGCAGAATGTGCCAAAGTTCTGTGTTATACTTGAGTTCCCAGCAACACATCCGCCCCCTCACCCATTTCTCTTCCTGTAGTTTCTTTCCAGACCCTGGTCCCAACACTAGGTCCCAACACTTGTGAGTGGCTTTCCACATACGCATTTCTAAAACTAATGATGAATCAGCTTCCTGCTTTTCCTTTATAATTCGCTCCCACTTTGAATCTTAGAAGGATGCAGTTCCTTCAGCTGCACGTCCTTGGAGTTTTCGCGTGTGTATTTGAAAGCAGACCCGGGCTCAGCTGAGCGATGCCCATTGGTGGCGTAGGGGAAGCCAGGCTCATGTGAGAGCTCCAGGGTGCGGGGCTGCCATTGGCCATGTCAGGCAAGCAAGAATAGAAGGAAAGGACTGAGTGTGCATAGGTAGTCTCATGGGGGTGGATGGGGAGGCAGTGGCAGGCACTCTGGGCCTAGGGCTGAAGCTGTTGTATAGGTAGCGGCTGTTTCTGGAGCTCCATGTTTCTGCTAGCAGTTTTCTGGTGTCTTCTTTGATGTATCGGGTAGCAGGTGTTCTCATCTATTTGTAGTTTGCTCCTCAGGTGTGCAGATTGGGACTTCTTGTCAGGAGCACACCTTCCCATGTCATCTTGTAAGTGTGTCTACTGCTCACAGAGCAGAATGTGGTAGAGTCCCTTGGCAGGACCATCATGGCCCCATAGCCTTGTGCCATCAGTAACTAGACTTGCATTTCTCTACAGAGAATAAGGATAGCCAGTTACCCACATGTATTGAAAGTTGAGAGCTCTGGTTCTCTGGTGTTTGCTGTAGGAATGGTTTTTTTTTTGAAACCATTTTTTTTCCCTCACCCTCACACTTCAAGTGTAATACTACAGCAAATGAGTGTACCCATCACGTGAAAGACGGATGCTATCACAGATGTCTGGCTTTTACGAAAAAAAAAATGTTCATGCACTTTTAATATTTTTCCAAATTGTAGGGGACTTTCACGATGGGCTTTAAGAACCTGTGTTAGAGTTCTTGATAAAGGGGATAGTGGGGAAGATTATGCACTTTAGGGGCGGATAGTATCTGGAAAAATCTATCATCCTTTAAAAAAGATAATAACGAGGTCTGTGTTTTTTCCCCCCCTCCATAAAAAGACATAAAAAACACATTATTTTGGCACAGTATCTTATTTAAAGTGGACAGTGTAGTGTCAGTATACTGAGGGTATTGGCTTACAAAGGGGACTTGAATCAGCCAAATAATTGAAAAACTAGGAGCTGGGGCGATAGCATGGGGATTTAAGGTGCACCTAGTTTGATCCTGGCACTGCATTGCCCCCCAAGCATCTTCGGGTATACTTTGGAGGCCCCCGAGCACCATTTGGTGTAGCCTTGGTGGTCCCTGGCACTAAGGGTCCTTGCATTGAACTGCCATCAGGCTGCTGGGCGTGGCCCTTTGACCTCCCTCCCTCCACTTCCACCCCACAGTAATGTTTGGGAGACACCCCCTTTTCCATTCCAACAACAGGGGAAAAGAAAAGAACATTAGCAGTGATCTTAAACTTATAACATCTCTTCAAGTTCTGTTTGTGGCTAAAAAGAAAATGTATTCTGGCATAATTTTTTTTTCATGTTTTAGTTCATAAGCTAGCCTATAAAAATACTTTCAGTGGAAATTTTCTTTTCTTTTTCATTCATTCATTTATTTATTTGGCATTTTATTTTATTTTTCAGGTCATGTACAACATCCCTAAGGCAAATCAATAAAATCATTGAACAACTTAGCCCACAAGCTGCCACCAACAGAGACATCAACAGGAAACTAGATTCTGTAAAACGACAGAAGTATAATAAGGTGAATCCAAATAACACATTAAATATTGGATTTTTGGTAGAGTCATCATTTAGGCTAAATTAATATTTAGGAAGTCTTTGTCACCCTTTGGAAATGTGAAAAAATATATACTTATGATAGAAATTTAGAGTTCTATAATTTTCCAGTAATTTCCCTTGAACTTTCTCTTTTAAAACTCTTAGTATTATATGCATATTTTCCCACACATACACACGTGTACATATCAGAGAATAAGTTCCCCTTAGCCGTTGCCTGTCTCCTCACTCAGGTACCTGGTGTCTCCGCTTTGCTCTCTTTTACCCTGCCTGGACTTCTAGTTGGTTAATTGGCCTCTCACTCCATCATCTCCTTGCTTTGTGTGAGCGTTCCTATTTTTCCTTCTTGCACTGATTGTGTGCACTCATGACAGTACCGCTGTCAGCTCGCACACAGTCTTTGTGCGCACTTCTCTGGGGTCTGGCCTTTGTATTATAATGTTCACTCAAGCATGCCAACTGGATCTGCACTTAGGCTTGTAGAGCTTAAGGGTAAAGGGTGTTACTTAGCACATTGTTTTCTATTTTTCAAGCTTCCGACTCTTTAGACTTATGTACACTTTATGATGGTACAGTGCAATAGATGGTAGTGGCAAGTTTTGATCATTTTATTTCTGCTAACAAGACTAACTTACGTCCTTGTGCTTACAGTTGATTTGTTGCAGCAGTAGAATCCTTACAATTGTTTATTTAAGTTCTAGGAGATAGGGGCTTGAAAAGATTCGGTGTCTCCTCTTGTTTTCCATTTCTCAGTCCGTTGTCTTTACCGTTCCACCTTCTCTCAACTTAACTCCAGAACAGCATTCCAAAGGTCAGAGCTAGCTGTGGCTGGAGGCTGCCAGGGTCTCCCCTGTCACAACTCTGGCTTCTCATTGGAGCTCATGAATGAATGTGTGAGACTCTCTGATCCGGGTTCCTGGGCTGCTGAGATTAAGGAACAGAAAGGAACAAATTTGGGGTCATTGAGGTACTAGTCTGATTCAGGCATTGCTACTTTTTTCTTTTTTGTTTTTTTTTTCTTTTTTGCTTTATTCAAATAGAAGTAAGACTAGAGAGAAAAGCTGTTGTGAATGAGATTTTACTAAAAGAAAAAGATTTTGTTCTAAGAGACAATGAAAGTGATCACCGCATGGCATTTGTATTCAGAAATTTCCCTCCCCCCTGCTCATATCGTTTAAATATTCATGACCTTGAGAAGAAGAATCACATACCCCAGGCCAAATTTATTAATGTTAAGAATGACTGTGTTTATGAGCTCAGGAGAGAAGAAGGAATCAAAGAGGAGTCTGGGGTGGGTGTGTGGGGAAATGATACATTGGAAAGCAATTTCCTTCACAGAGTTTGTGACTGGACAAATACTATAAAGAGCAGTCATAATTATGGTGGATTGTCAAAGGTGTTTGCACTTTTCAGCTGTTTGAACTTTTGTGCTTTTTTAAAAATTCTTATACCTCAGAGTGTAGAGAAGTTTAGGGATGTGTAATGGGCAGGTGTGTGATGGGGAACTTAAGTAGAGCAGTTTCCCGCCCAAGTAAGTCAGTGGAGAGTCAGAACGTCTGAACTGAAGTGCTCAGCACAGAAACAACAGTATTGACCAGTCAGACAAGGTACTCCACTGTAATAATAAGTACTCAAGTAAGGTTTCCTCTACAGTAATAATAGTATGGAATTTCATAGAATTAATAGATTTTGTAATTTATACTTATCATTTCTCATTTTCTGTATTCAAAAATTGCCTTTAAGGAACAACAATTAAAGAAGATCACAGCAAAACAAAAACGTCTGCAGGCCATCCTTGGTGGTGCAGAGGTCAGGGTTGAAATGGATCATGCCAGTATGGAAATAGAGGACGAAGGTGAGTGCTGGAACCAGTTTCTCTGGGTTCTTGATTGATGCTTCATGCCTCTAATCAGTAGAAAGCATCTCTTCAGACTTGTCGCAGTGTTCCAGAAAATGCATTTTTTTTTTAAATGTAGGAGTACTGCTATTTATTCAGCCATTGATTAAGCTGATTGATGTGGGCATGACCTCCACAAAATTTATTGTTTTGAACTTAGTGTCAAGACAGATATATGAAAGTTCTATTTTTTCTGCCTGCATGCAGAACCAAAAAATTTTTTAAAGCCATGTGGGGCTTTTAAGAGAATGGTAATAAAATTTTAACTTCATCTGCTAGAGGCTGCTTGCTCACATTTATTATTATATTTAATAAATTAGTAATCTTAGCATTTTTGTGTGGTTAATTTCAGGAAGATGTCTAACATCTTCGTTCAATTACATTTTGAAAGCCCATCATCATTAGTCAACATTTATGGAGTGAATGAACAGTCATATTCATTTAGATTATACAGTGGCCATACAATACAAATGCCATTGTATGTCTCTTGGAAAACTGTGAAAAATGCATGCGTATTTTCTTGTCAAACTATCTATGACTCTGAGAGAGTTTGTGTGTTTCTTTTTTCTCTTTTTCTTTTTTTCTTTTTTTATTAGTGAAACACCATGAGGTACAGTTATAGACTTACAAATTTTTGTGCTTGGGTTTCGGTTATACAAAAAAATATGGAACGCTTCACGAATTTGCGTGTCATCCTTGCGCAGGGGCCATGCTAATCTTCTCTGTATCGTTCCAATTTTAGTATATGTGCTGCCGAAGCGAGCACGATTTTGTTTTTAAGTTGTTAGTAACTTCTCCTTTACTACTTGCAATAGATACTTGTTAGCATTTAAGTTCTTCAAGCAAATATTTTTTACTACCTTCAGAAGTTTATTTGATAAAATACAATGGTTATTATAAAAAAAAAGTTGAGGTCATAGGAAAAGTATTTGTGCATTTTGTTATTGTTACTGTGGGAACTACACAAAGCATTACTCAGGGGTCCCTGGGTGACCAGTTCCAGTGTCTCACACACACAGGCTAAGTGCTCTGCCACTTGAGAAATGTTTTTGAGAACTGACTCTGTCTGTTCATGAGGCCGATATTTTCTGCTGCTAAGATATGCCATATTTCTCATGGGTAACACACTTGTTTCTGTTTGTTTATCTATAATGTGCCATCTTTTGACAGAATTGCTTCCTTAGTAAAATTTATGATTAAAAATTGCCAGCACAGGGGGCTAACCCCGTATCTCAGAAAGCCTGATCTGCAAGCACAAGGTTGTAAATTGGATCCCCTGTGCAACCCCGTGTACTAAGCATGATCCTGGCAGCTCAGCTGTGTAACTAATCTCTGGTGCCACAGGTGGTTTTGCCTTCACGACCAGGAATGCATATGAGCACTGTAGCAAAGAGATGGGACCCCTGGTGAGTAGCACAGTGACCCACCGTGTAGTGCGGGCTACGATCAGGATGCGCATGGACACTCAGTGTCATGTAATCACAGGTGCACACGTGGTTCGACTCCTCAGTGAGAGGAGCACCAGCCTCTGTGAGCAATGCAGCCTGTGCCAGGTGTGTGAGCACCACAGTCTGATGAGTGTCACCCCTCACCCCCCCATCTTCCCTTCCCAGCACAGCATCGCCAGGTCCAAGTTTTCAGCACAGTTTACCTCGGACCTGTACTCCTGGGCAGAGCATCCTCACCAGATGCTTCAGAGCACTCTTGGGGGTGGTCCCCAGGCTTCAGGGCACTCTTGGGGACGATCCCCCCTCTTTTTTTTTAAAAAAAAGAAAGTCAGTAAGAAAATGTCTTTTAGTTCATTAGTCTTCAGGAAAATAGAAATTATAACCATCAAGCCATGTCATTGCTTACTTACTGTAATAGCTAAAATGGACTGGCTTGAATACAGACCGCTGAACTCAAAACACTATTTGCAGTACCAAGGCCATGTCCCAGAGTGCTTATAGCAGCTTTGTTCTTAGTTGGGTACTGAGAGACTAATGCCTGCTGCCGTGTGGTTCTTTTTTCAGAGCCAGGGCCCTCCTCCCTGGGCAGCATGCTCATGCCTGTTCAGGAGACTGCGTGGGAAGAGCTGATCCGCACCGGCCAGATGACACCTTTTGGTACCCAGATCCCTCAGAAACCGGAGAAAAAGCCTAGGAAACTCATGCTCGACGAAGAGTCAGGCTTTGAGAAATATTTGGCGGATCAGGCAAAACTGTCTTTTGAAAGAAAGAAGCAAGCCAGTGCTCGGAGAGTGGCTAAAAAAGCACAGACCTCGGTCAGGTCTGAGCCGAGCTCAGCCCTCGGCGAGACCACACCAAAGAAAGGAAGCCAGGCGCTCTCCAAAACGGACGCGCGTCTGAAAAAGCATCTCCGGAAACTGCAGAGGAGGGCCCTTCGGCTCCAAGGGAACCTGGCCTTGCCGAGGGGAAAGAAGCCTCCGGAGTGCGATGGAAAGTTGAAGGCAGAGGGAGATTCCGAGGGGGAAGAGTCTGAGTACTTGCCCTCGGAGGAGGAGGTGGAGGAGGAGGAAGAGGAGGAGGAAGAAGAGCGAGCAGGGGCCAGGCTGTCAGAAGGTACCGGCTGTGAGCCCAGGCCTGCAGTCAAGAGCAGGAAACGGCCAAAGAAAATCACAGTGCAGGAGATTGATGATGACTTTTTCCCGAGCTCCGAAGATGAAGCCGAAGTCACGGGTGGAGGAGCAGCAGCACGTGGCCGGAAGGTGATGAGATGCCGGGATGATGGAGACGAAGAGTACTTTAAGCAGCGGTTAAGGTCAGTTTTCAGAGACGGTAAGCAGATTGCGCGGCTTCTTTTCTTCGGCATCGGCTTTGTTCCCAGATAGGTCCAGGTGCAGGTGTATATGTATTAGGGCCTGTTTTTCTTAGAGTTCAGTTCCCTGAAGCCTTCGCCTGTTAGAAGCCACAGAGCCCCTGCGTCCTCAGAGACTTGACCCCACGTGAGGCAGCTTCCGAGACCTCCTGGGGACTTCTTCAGGTCTGGGAGGAAGGGGAGAGACTGGCACGAGGGGCACACGGAGGATGGAGATGATTGGTGGTCCTGCAGCAGGACGGGAGAAGGGGGAAGATTGGCTGCCGGGGTGACCACTGGGGGCTTTGTCATTTTTTGATTGTTTTGAAGCAGGAAAGCCATTTACAGAACTTAAGGGCTGAGAGTTGTGCTGTTTTTACTCGTGAAATCACCTTGTCAGCCACCACGTCAGAACCTGGAAGTGTTCTTGTCTAGCTGGAAGTGTGCTTTGTGTATGCACGATATATTGTTGGTTTTCAAGCTCATGCTTGATGCTCCAGACTGACTGTGGCTCTTACTTCCACAGCTCTGGCAGTAGATGAGGCAGATAAGCTAAAGGGATGGTGAAGACCCGACTGTCCCAAGTACCCTGTGCGTTGCTGCACATTTTATGTGAACCAAGGGAAAAAGTGGCTATGTACACTGCAGCTTTGTCCAGGGTCCCACAGAGTGCCGAGCTGTATCTTGGGCCACATCCCTTAGCTTTCTCAGTACGCCAGGATACCCCAGAGAAAAGAGGCGTTCGGGGCCAGGGATATAGCTCAGATATAGCCATGTGCTTTGCATGCATGAGGTCCCGGGTTCAACCCCAGACACCAAGTAAGGAAATAAAACAAGGCATGTGTTGAATAAATTCATTTGGGAAATTTTTGCCCATTTTTGTGTTTCTTGTAGCTTACAACTGACCTTTGTGAGGGAACTTGATGCTGTTTTCTGATTGAAAACTGCTGGTGACCCACCCCTGCCTGCCACAGACAGACAGCCGTGGCCTTTTACAAGTAGATGTGGCAAAGTCCTTTTATGTTGTTGTTGTTGGCTTTTTGCAATGCACAGGCCTTACTCCTGGCTCTGCACTCAGGATTTACTCCTAGCAGTGCTGGGGGGACCGTATGGGATGTTGAGGATTGAACCCGGGTTGACCGCATGCAAGGCAAATGCCCTACCCACTGTACTAGTGCTCTGGCCCCAATCCTTTTAATGACTAATTTGAGGACCTGTGATGGCAGTCTCGGTCTTGAGTGCTGCAATGCCTACATGGAATCTTAACCTTAGATTTTAATACAAGCTAGCTTCAGTATGTCTTTTCCCACTTCGATTTTAAAGGTTCCCCCCCACATGTAATATCTGTAAAGTTGCTTCGAGGGTATTTTGCTCAATACTCTTGAACAATCAGCAGTGTCAGTCTTTAACTACCGAAGAGAATTAATAGATGTTCATCTCAGCATATTGATTGCAAATGGAGCAATATAGTCTTCTCATTAAATTCTGTCAATATTAAATATATTTTAAATAGATCAGTATTTTGATCAAGAGTAATTTTGATTAAATTTTAAATAAGAATTTGGTTTAATTTCATGTCATTAAGTTTTTCTTAATAATGTTAAGATTGTAAAACAATTTGTTATTTCCAAAGCTATATCATAAGATGATAGTTTTTTTTTTTTTGCTAAAGTCATAGTAAAATCTCCAGTGAGTTTCAGAAATATCAATAACACTAATTACCACCAAAATTTTATAGTGCTTAAAATTTTATAACTGTGGTTTTGAGAGTGTTAAACTGCAGATATACCATGTCGAAATGTGTGCATCTCATCTTCTTTGATTCTCTTTGGATTTGGGAATATTAAAAGAAAATACATTGCTAAGGACTGAGAAGAAGAGAGACAACATTTTAGCACTGTCACTTTTTATATTTTTAAAAAAAAATTTTTTTGATTGAATCACCGTGAGATACAGTTGCAAAGCTTTCATGTTTGAGTTTCAGTCATACAAAGATCGAACACCCATCTCTCCACCAGTGAACATTTTCTACCACCAATGTCCCCAGTGTCCCCCCCTGCCCATCCCAACCCTTTCCCTGCCTCTATGGCAAACAATTTCCCCCATATTCTCTCTCTACTTCTGGGTATTATGGTTTGCAATACAGATACTGAGAGGCCATCATGTTCGGTCCTTTATCTACTTTCAGCAGACATCTCCCATCCCAAACGATTCCTCCAGCCGTCATTGTCTTAGTGATCCCTTCTCTATTCTACTTGCCTTCTCCGCCAGCTCATGAGACAGGCTTCCAACTATGGAGCAATATTCCTGGCCCTTGTGTCTACTGTCCTTGGGTGTCAGTCTCATGTTATTTTATATTCCACAAATGAGTGCAGTCATTCTGTGTCTGTCCTTCTCTTTCTGACTTGTTTCACTTAGCAGAATATTCTCCATGACCATCCACTTATAAGCAAATTTCATGATTTTTATCTTTCCTAACAGCTGCATAGTATTCCATTGTGTAGATGTACCAAAGTTTCTTTAACGTGTCATCTGTTCTCGGGCACTCGGGTTGTTTCCAGATTCAGCAGTGTCATTCTTTATATTTGTTTCTTCTTATTGATCTTTGTAGTTGTATTGAACTTTCAGTGTTACTCCTTGAGGTGAAGGAAATGATGTTTAGGATCTCTTAGCAAAGATTTGACGATTAGCATAAAGCCATAAAGTTTATAGCATAGAAAATGCATTTTTCTTAATGAGTGTAGAACTCAGGAGTATGGACCCAGGCTAGATGTCTTTTGTTGAACTTTGATATATATTGGTTACAGTTTACAATAGCTCCTTTTTGTGACCTTGTTCATTATAATGCTCTTTTCTTTTTTGTCTTTTTGGCTCACGCCCCACAGTGCTCAGGGGTTACTCCTGGTTCTACACTCAGAAATTAGTCCTGGTGGTGCTCAGGGGACCATATGGGATGCGAGGGATCGAACCTGGGTTGGCCGTGTATGAGGCAAGAGCCCTCCCCGATATATTGTTGCTCCGGCCTGTAATATTCATTGGATCCCTTGGAAATGCACGCAAGCTACTCTAGACATCCATCCATCCTCTCTGTTTTCTCAACCAGGGAGAGTTCTTTTCATTCAGGACTCTCACCTAGGCTTCAGTGTCTTTGCTTTAGCTGGTGCTCAGTGGGAGTTACCAAGCAGGCCTTTATTCTAGTTTACTCTCTTCTGGAACTGGGTCCCAACATCTAACCTCAAATTAGTTTTTGCAGTTTTAAAAATGAAAATGACGGCCTTTCCTACATCTTAATTAATTCACTATTTCGGTTTTTGGATCACAGCCATCGGAGCTCAGGGATTGCTCCTGTCAGGGCTGTGGTGCCTGTATGGGATGCCAAGGATTGAACCTGCATCTGTGTGTAAAGCAGGTGCCCAACCTATTGTTCTATAGCTCTGGCCCCAGTTTAATTTATTGCTTAGAAATTTTATTTTAAATTTACTCACTGTGGTTTACAAAGCTGTTGATAATAGAGTATAGGGTATGTGGTATTCGAATTCCAAATCTGTCACCAGTATCAGTGACCCTCCACCAATGACCTAAGGTTCTCTTCCACCTCCAGCTCACCTCCTGCACAGCTTACCACCTCCTGCCCGCACCCCCCCCCCCCCTCCACACACACACACACACTTTGTTTGGGGATTGTCTCCTCAGAGACGTTCTGATTTTCTTTCTTTTCTTCTTTTTGCTTTTTGGGTCACACCCAGCGATGCATAGGGGTTACTCCTGGCTCATGCACTCGGGAATTACTTCTGGCGGTGTTGGGGGACCATATGGGATGCTGAGAATCAAACCCGGGTTGGCTGCGTGCAAGGCAAATGCCCTACCAGCTGTGCTATCGCTCTGGCCCCGTGTCCTGATTTTCATACCTCTGATAACATACCAGAGAGCAGAATAGCTTTTCAGAAGATTCGGTTGGCTTTTATTCCTCACATTGGTAGATCTTATAAGACATTTTAATTAATTTATTTTGTTTTGTGGGGCCACACCTGGTGGTGCTCAGAGCTTACTCCCGGCTCTTCTGTGTCCAGGGATTACTCCTGGCAGTGCACGGGTGTTGGGGATCAACCCCAGGTCAGCTGCATGCCAAGCACATGTCTAACCTACTGTACTGTCTCTCTGCACCCAAAACATTAATTTTACTTAACTTATGAACATAAGTCCCCCATTTAGCAGCTTATTTCTTCCCCTCCCTACCTTCCTTTCCCTCTGTTGTTGTTATGACGACCTGCGCTTGCACGCAGGCTTGGCTGGGGGGGAATTCCCCAAGAGATGCATGTAGGATTGTGGTGTTCAGATACTGCACTGAGGCACTCGCCGGGGTTCACACTTCTTTCATGTTGGTGTTCCTACCCATGCTCACTGGAGGTGGCTGAGGGTGGGGGGTGCTCACCCACAGGGCCACAGGGCTCACAGGAGCTCACCTCCCTGTAGTAGCAGTGCTCGCTCGCAATGCAGCCTGGTGGTCGTGCTTGCCAGGGTCGCTGCGATGCTCACACATGTGTTCACTGGAGTTTGCGCTCCTGGCCTTAGTGCGCACATATCTTAGCTGCAGTGCGTACTGCAGGGGAAGCTGGGGGTGGGGAGTTGCACCATTTTCAGTTTCGTTCCTGTGGGTTCTTCGGGAGAAAGTGTCACGGTTCAGTAGTCCCGTCCAACCTGAGGGTTGATGACAATGTGGGGAGACAGTTTGCTTCAGCTACTTGCTGAACCTTGAGATATGGCTTGGGCAGTGCCACCAACTCTCCTTCCCGTCCCCTGTGGCAGCCAGCACTGCTTTGGGTGTTATATCCTGAGTGAGAGGGATGCGCTTCCGTGTTCTGCTTCTGGCACCGTTGGGTTAGCGGAGTCTTTCTGACACGTCCCTAACCTGTGCCTTTTGCATGTTTCATCCATATTTGAGCTGGTCACCTGACAACCGGTGT